TTTTTTTTTTTTTTTTTTGGCATTTGAATATTTTTCTTACAAGTTAGTGGAAAGGAAAGTGATCAATTTTTGTACTCAACAAACAAGAAGGAAGGTGTAGACAGCTTTTATCTGGGAAATTTTTAAGTCATTGAGAAAATATTTTCTAGTATCAATGGCTTTTTGAAATTATTGGAAGAATCCTCTTAACCCACATTAACATTAAGTGGTTGAAAAGATGAAAAGACTTTTTTAAAAATTTTCTACATAAAAGAAAGCACCATAGTTTTTGCATCATTGCATAAATCTAAGAGATTATGTATGCGTAAACAGGAGAAGACAAAACTGAATGCTAAATGCCAACATCAAGGGAAGCTTGTCTGGGTATTTGACACTGAGCATAATGGGGTGTGGTTCCACAGGGAAAGAACACTAAATATTTACACCCCAGGACATGTTTCTCTGGTAAAGCTTCTTGTCCTAGATTAATCTTCCAGCTAACACCATTATCTCCCTTTAACACATCCCCTTCTTACACTTTTATTTTCTCCCTTAATACTCTGAGGAAGGAACAAACTTTCCTCTAACCTCAGGGTTCTTCTGGATGGTCTAATAATCAAATAGACATGAGACAGATTAGCAAGAGAAAATGACCAAATTTAATACATACATATGTATGGGGACCCCACATACATTAGAGAGTCAGAGACTTCCCACATGCAGGAGAGGTTCAGAGACAGAAAGGGGAATTGAGGTACAGATGAGATTCTGAGCTAGGGATGGGATGATGCACGTTAGGGCTTCAGATTGTCACTGAAGGGAGGGAACATGTTCAGTAATTAGTGGTTTGCCTTGCCATATAGATTGGTAAAAAGATATTTCTCATGATAACTCTTATCGTGAGCCAGGCTCCTAATTTAAATTCTTCTATATAGTCAAGGGAAGAGCTGGAGTTTCTCTTCAGCCTTCAGGGTCTCAGTAGCCCATAGCTCAAAATAATCTGCACAGCACTAAGGCACATTTTGGGGCAGCTCACCTGAACCTGCATAATTCCTTATGAGGTTCTAAACCTTCTGGGTCCAATCCCCTATCCTAACTCTCCCATTTCTTCCTGGGTCTTCATGAATTCTTTGTGTTTCTTGTATGCACCTTCAGGTGAATTCTCTTGGTTTACTGCAAATAGTAAAACATAACCACAGTCCCCCTCTTCCATAGTTTCTGCTATTTTGTTGGTATCCCTTTCTTGTCATTTCTCTGGAATTTTTGAACTAGAGCTGTGATGTATACAGCCAGCAATGTTGCATGGTCATGCAGAGTTGCTGACTAATGCAGATCCAGTTCTTTTTCCCATTCATATCCTTTCTTTTTCAGACTTGAGAGTGGTGAAGGGAGTTACTGCATTAGTGTGTACTGTGAAATCTGGGGAGTTGTGCTTTTTTAGGCCTCTTGCCCTCAGGTTCTGACTTTTGCCTTAGTATCATCTCCTCAAAATCTTGCTTCACTTTACAGGCAAAGGGCCAAAAAAGTTTCTTGAATATTGTGTGCCAAACTAGGAAGAATGAATGGTTTAACGAAGGAACATTTAAAAACTGTAGACTCAAATGACAATGGAATAATCACAGAAAAGAATGGAATTTGAGCTGGATCTGGAGGGGTGAGTTGAGTTTAGAGAAGCTAAGAGATTTCATGCAGGAGGGCCTCTAGAGCAAAGGTGAGAAAGAGCAAAGCAAGCTTTGCGATATAGAATGGATAACTTCTGTGCCTTTTGGTTAAGATCAGGAGATGTAGAATGGGAAGTTGGTTTTAGGGGATACTAGACAGTGAATTAATTGGAAGAGTAGATTGGCCAGCTTGTGGTGAGTTCTTAGTACTGGGCATAGTTGTTTGATTAATTCCTTGAGTAATCCATTTATTCAACAAATGGCTTCTTACAGTATATAGGATAAAACCCAAACATCTTCACAAGCATTTAAGTTCTTCTGTATACCTTAAGATTCACTACCTCAGCACTATGTACCATGAACTCCTTCCAGTCATATTGAAGACTTTCATGATCCTCCCAGCATGTTGTACTCCCTCAAATGTCTACTAAAGCTTCTACACCATATTGTGTGCTATAATGTCTGAGTATGTGTCTGTTTTCTCATTCAACTATGAGCTTCCTGAGAGCAGGGGTTGTGTCTTACTCTCCTTCATATCCGTATCACCTAGCAGAGAGGGTACCTACCTAATATGTAGCAAATGCTTAACAAATATGTGTTGAATAAAATATTTATTGAACACTTAATTTACATCATGTATAGCTGCATTTTAAGAGAGCCATCTAGAAGCAATGTGATTGATAGATTGCAGACGGGAGATGCAGAGAGACCAGTTATAGGGATTTTTTTGAAGTAGCTCATTTGTTAAAAACAAACAAACAGTAGGGGGTAGATTCCTAGAAAATAGATAAAGAATAAGGGGTAGGATTTAACGACTAGCTACTAGAGGCGCTAGAGAAGGAAGACCGAAAGATAATAAAGATTTAAGGTTACTTTCAAGTAAACATGTTTTTTTCTAAGTCAGATCTCCCGGTATTAGTATTTGCCTCACCCTATCTCTGCTCTGAAGATTAACACTGTGTTTCCATTCAGTGTTGTGGAGTTAAGCTCAAGATTTATGTGCTCCTGATATTCATATCTGGTCAGGAGTTAAGATATGAAATATAAATAGTTCAACCACGCCGACTACAATTTCCTATCAAGGGAAGGTGTGCAGCGCATAGACTTTTGAATATATAAAGCCTGTTTCTGCTTTTGGGAGCTACGACTGAAGTGTTATACCAAGCAGATGCACTGGGGTGCGCTACTATGTAGCAGAGCCTAGCTGTGCATCACAGCTCTCAACTTTAAAACTCCTGAGAATTTGATGAGAGAGGGATCCACAAGAACATGACAAATGATGAGAGTTCAAACCTTAAGAGAAAAATGGGCTTATTGGTAAGAGACCTTTCTTTTCCTTTATTTACTGCTGTTACTTATTCATTAAAATAGCAAGCCTGTTGTTTTCATGTGTGGCCGTGAAGCGGTGTGCAAAAATCAATCTTATATATATTGTAGAATTCAGGAGACATATTGGTAACCATGCAAAAATCATAGGAAGGATATAGAAAGCTTGAATTTAAAAAAAATCATGAGAGAAATTTTACTTCATTTCAGACTGTGCTATGTAGATTTATTTATCTAGCTTAAATGTAATACAGGTTTAGAAATATATATATGTATTTTTAAAAGTTAAAATAAAGGATAGTGACTTGTGTAGATACATAATTTCACTCAGTTACCAGAAGGTGGCACACCAGATTCTTCTTAAACATACAAAAGAAAGGAATAATAGTGATAAGAATATAAAATAAGCTGTATTTAAAGATACTTTAATGTATTTTTAAGCAAAATATATATATAATTGCTATTTGCTTGGTGAGGCTTGGTGTTAAAACATGACAAATATGAATTTAACCCATTGTAGCTTTTTATGATTAAAAAATCATAATTTTTCTATGTATAGCATTTTAAAAGTAGACTTTGAAATACTATTGTCATCAAGGAGATGCTGTTTTGAATTTACCATTTAAAAAAGAAATAAAATACTTGCTATCTACCTTTTGCATAAGAAGTCATTAGATTTAGGATAACATTTTGTGTAAGTTCTCTGCCAAGGTCCTTCTAAAGGTATTATTAGGCTATGACTTTGATTTAGTTGTGACTTTAATAATGCAATAGTGCTTTTTGAGGTGACTCAGAAAAAAGCCAAAACTATTTATTTTTAAGGCAAAGTTAGATAAGAGTATTGCTTAGTGATGTTTACCTTCTATAAGCTACAAATGACATAAATGAAATAAATGTAAACAAATTCAGTTTTATGTTAGAACTCCTCAAACACCTGCCAGCCTTAATTTTTTAACAGAGTTGACTGGATATACTGCAATGCTTCTGTAGTAGTCTCTATTTTTAAAACTGCATTCCTGAGGCAGTACCAATAGTATGTTCGATGTTGCCTTTTGTATTAGCCCGAAGGAGACAGATATGTAACAAAACTTCACAAAACCAAAATCTTCTGTTTAGAGACAGTACATCTATTTATATGTTTTTATTAATTACAAGCAGTATGAAAATAAGAAAATTGGTAGTAAATGAACCTAGAAGAACATTAGCCATCTGTTCTCTGAAAGCTTATAATGTTTGTCATTTGTGTTCAGGTTTTTATGGAAAAACAGTATATCAGCAAAGAATTGAACTTTGGGCTTACAAAGCTAGAAAATGACAAAGCATTCCAAGGCTGAGTATATATTTGCTGGAAAAGTGTTTCCTTGTGTCCAAATTTGGCTAGTTTAGTCTTTAGATCAGCTGCTAATAAATGTTGTATTTAATGTCAATCTTTATGCCAGACTTTCTAAAACATTAAGAGAGCTTCTAAAAACAAATAGAATCTTATGGCTTTTCAGTTAACTTTCTTAAAATGTTAATTTAGGTAATTTTTAATAGTTCTGTGTGGTCTTAACTGTTCAGGATTTATAAACATGGCTTATTAATTTACAGCTAAAATATTTGCGGAGTATGCTTAGAAAAATGTAAACAAAATACAATAAAGCCACAATTAACCAGATTTTTTTTTTTTTTTTGCACTCCACTTTCAGGAGACGGAGACAATTGTCTTTAAAACAAGCCGATTTCAAGGATATATTCAAAAAATCAACTTCAGGGTATGTCCAGGGGTCTGCATTTTCCTTTACCTTTTTTCAACGAGAATTTATTTTCATTAAAAAGACCCTGAGATACTAGAAGACAGTCATCAAAAGAACTTTCAATAATGTCTAGGGTACTGTGTTTACTAAGACCAAAGAAATGACAAATTATTCTGTTAAAAAGCACCCTGTGTCATTGTATTGTGCTTTGTATTTTCCAATGTGCTTTCACAAATATGAGTTCATTTGCTTTTCATAACATTGCTGGGAGTCTGGCAGGGAAAGAGACAGCTTCCCTATTGTAGGGATGAGGGACGATAACACCAGAAGTCACAAAGCTAGTCAGTGGTAGAGCTGTAGCCAGACCACAGGTGCCTAGCTCTGTCTTCTTCTGCATCCTTCCTCATCGAAAAAGTTTGAAACAAATTTTTAACTTTTCAGTCTATATTGCACATCAATATAATTACTACTACCTTTGTCTCCTAATTGCTGCACTTCACAGTTTCCCACTTTGCATCTGTCTGCCTGCCTCTGTGCCTATCTGTCAGCCAGATGGTGACCTTGCTTTCAGACTTTCCCAGTCCTGGAAGTATCTGAAGTGTGGGAGGGCAAGATAATGGCTGTGGACAGTTTGGATTGACAACTAGTGGTGAGCAGCCAATGCTGATATGCTGAGGAAGGCCAGGGGCTGAGAAAGAAAACAGAATCTCTCTAGAGCTGGGGTTATCTTGAATAGGGGTTAATGACCTTGACTTTTAAGCAGTGTTCCTCCAAGTTTAGTAGACTAGGCATGAAAATCAGTTGGAGTACTTATTTAAAATGCAGACTACTGGGCCCCACCTCCAGACTTCTATAGACTTCCACATTTTAAATATTCACCCACATTATTCTTATGCATACTTAATTTGAAAGCATCTGCCTTCAAAGTATAGGACACTTTTCTTGGTGTATATATTGGAGTGTAAAGAAAAAAGCCACTTTTCTCTCGGTAACATCTATATTCCTTGTCAAAGCATGTAGGGGTGGGAGTCAGACAAGGGTGAGGAATGACAGATACTACTTGCACATTGCTATATCTACATCTGAGGCACAATAGCTGTTGTGTATTATAGTCACTATTTTTAATAGGCTTGTGTGCATTTTAGACTCGATTGAAGATGGTAAAGGGAAGAAAGATTTCTACCAAAAGGTGAAAAATAAATGAGTTGTGATATTTTAAGAGTTAATCTATCCCAGTTTTACATTTAAATTAATTTTAAAAATTGGGTAGAGTACTATGCTGTCCAGGATTCTGGATAGTTAAGGCTTACTGTAGTGATATATGTGTGCTTACTTGTGTTTCATATGTGAATATGCAGTCTGCCTGATTAGATTGTAAGGGATTTGTGGCCAGGGAACATCGTGTGCTTGTAATATCTAGCAAAGTTGTAAGTTCTTAGTACTTACTGATGATTGAACTAATTCAGCATGCACATCTTCTCTACACATTTTGGGCTAGGCATAGTAAGTTGATTGATTTTGGTGTTTGTCAAGTTCAAGAAGTCTACCTTACATTGTCAGTAAAGGCTATTATACTGGAGGTTAAACAAATGCATTTTAGCTGACAAGAACAAAAACATGGTCCCAACTAATCAATTTGCTAATACTTGTTCCCTGTTTAGAGTATGAGTTTAAGCTTGATTCTGCGGCCTCTTCACCCTTTTTGGAATACAATTTATGATGTTCTGTGCTTTTTACAAATCTGAATCTCAAAAATTGGTAATTCTGGAAATCCCCAAACAGATATTTCCACTTAGTTAATGAACAGTATCATAAGAATTTAAACAAAATGGCCACATACTATATTGGAAGACTCATAAAAATGCTCAACTGTATCTCTGATTTAGATCAAGCTGAATAAGGAATGAGTGAATAAATATATGCTAGTAAAAGGGAAGGTGTATTTTACTTGGGTTATATAGCTTCTGAATTCCATGAGAAATAACTGATTGTTTAAAACATATATTTGGTTTTGAAGACATAAAGTGGTTGGTTTTGAACTTACTGGTTGAAGAAGAATTAAAAAGGCAGTCAGGAAACCCAAATTTTAAATTGCATCTAGCTTAAACCTAGGGCCACCCTAAGAAGGAGAACTGGATTTTTATTCCCTCATATCAAAATCACATTTACATTAGTTAGTAATAGCACATGAAATAAAGGAAAATAAATTA